CTAAACTAACTGAGCAGAAACTTCATATGACAAAAACAGTGTGATCATGGAATTCATTAAAAAAACAAACAGAAACACAGCAAAACACAGGGAAGCAGGGGCGTAATTTCCAGAAATGGCACATGATATTGCATAAAGTGTGTGATTCTCAATAAAAAACTAATTATGGGACATATGAAGAAACAGGAGAGGGTGACCCATACAGAGGTAATAAAAAAAGCAACCAATGTCCTTGAAGAGCTCTGGATAGAACAGTTAAATATTTTAAATCAAGAATTATAAACATGTTCACAGAGCTAAAGCAAATCATATCTAAATAACTAGAGGAAAGTAAGAGAATGGTATTCTACCAAATCGAAAATGGAATTGAGGAGGCAGACAGCATAGCATGGAACCAGACAGAAATTTTGGAGTTGAAATTTATGGTAACTAAAATAGAATAATTCATGAGAATAAATCAAGAGCTGATTTGAACAGGCAAAAAAATCAGTGAACCTGAAAATAGATCACTTGAGATTATCTTAAATGAGAAACACAAGTAAAGAAGAATGAAGATTAAAAAAAGAAATTCAGATATCTGTAGGGAATCATTAAGGTACTAAAATATACACACAATAGAGGTCGTAGTAAGAGAGGAGAGAAAGAGAGGCGAACAGAAGAATATTTGCAGAAACAATGGCTGACAATTCTTCAACTCTGATGAAAAATATAAATCTGCAAATCCAAAAAGCCTAATAAATTCCAAGTAAGATCATCTCAGAGATCCATGCTGAGATATGGCATATGGTATGCCATGTGCCAACTCTGCAAAGCCAAAAAAAAAAAAAATAGGGTTCATAAAAGCAGCAAGAAACTTTTTTAAAACCCTAAGGTATTTTCTTTTCTTGCAGATCAAAAAATACTCAATAGAAGTGCACAACAGTGTCCATGTATATTGAAAAATACTAAAATATCAACATTAAGGAATATAGAAAAACTTCCTCTAAATTGCTCAGAAATAAGTTAGTAGGGCAGTTTGTCAGGAATTTTAGGATGCAGTGAACTTCAAGTTACAGGGGTCCAGATGGGAGTGGCTTAAAATGTAAAATATGGGCTGAGTGCTCAATGTTAACAGGCTCCCTTATTGCTGGGGTGTCATAAAATTTTGCCATTTCAATACTTACTGCTTTCTGGCTACAACAAAGCCATAAAGCCACTTCCACAGCTCCAGAGCTCCACTCTAACAAGGAAAGAGGGATCAGGAGCAGTGGGGACCTTCCTTCCTACTTGACTTCCCTTTCTGTCTCCTGACATCAGAGTCTTATGTTACCACCACTAGCTGCAGTAGTCTGGGGATGTGTGTGTCTGGTAAAGGGAAGTAAAAAGTCATAAGTAGCATAGGCCAATCATGAATCATTCTCTGTAGATTAGCGCACTGCTATCGTGAACATCCTTAAATTCTCTTAATGTGACTGAAGTGGGAAGAGATGATAGCTGGAAAGGCAGCTAATGCAGCTTATGCCAGATAGAAAATCATCTTTTTGTTCATTTTCGTGAAGAATACGGACAATTTCTTATTTCCAACTTTCTGATTTTTTCCCAGTGGTTGGTAGCATGTCTGTCAAATAGTACCTGCTTTTAGCTATAGATTAGATATATAAATAAATGAATAAAACTCCTTGATAACTTGTAATTTAGGCTGAAAAGCATTGAGCCCAGTAATAGACATAGAATTCAGGAAGCAAAGTGTCAGAACCCTTAAATTTTATGCCCAGAGAAAATGTTCTCTTATAACTGAAGCGATGCTAAAGCACCATATTAACTAATTTCCTAGCTTTTATAGAAGTAGAAAATCTCAGAGTGTCAAAGATTTAGTGTTCACCAGCACTGCTCCAGCCCAGAGTAGACGCAAATGGACTTTTTACGGTCTTCCCATTTAACTAGGCAGCGCTGAGCAACCCCAGCCTGCAAACCTCTTTCCTGGAAATGCAGGGTGGTAACAAGAGGATGGCTTTGAGTGTAAAGAGGCTCATCAGTGAGCTATTTGCAATATCCTTCCGGGTGCTGTGTCCCAAAGCTTTTCCACAGTGGTTTCCTGGTGCATGGCAGGGTGGGGTCCAGATGTGCAATTCTCCTCTTTACATGTAAATTTGAAGCTGGGAACATTATGGTTGATTTTGCATGACACATCTAGATAATGTGCAATGAATTTTTCTATTATGTGAAATTTGAGATCTCAGCGGACAAAAATTTGAAGCTAAATTGTTCAGAAATTAAAGGAGAATATGTTTTTGCTCTCTCTATATGATTTAGGTAATCAATGTCAGTGTAAACCCTTCATAATCTTATAATCAAGACATATTTTGAGAATTTCCTTATTGGACCTAATTTAATGTCATTTAAAAGTATAAGATGAATGTCTATTCATTGTCACAAATGTTACAGAAGTTAAAAATCAATTTGCTTCATCTAGTTCTATGGTCTACTCTCTCAAGTTAACTTCTGTTAGTAATTACAGCCAATCCCTCCAAGCATTCTAGCATGCTTATTTTTAAATCTCAGAAAGCATTCATCTCCAGCTTTCATCTGACTCCACGAGAAAAAAAAGAAGAATTTGATTTTGCGTAATATAAAGAGACTATTTTGAGGATCCTGATAGATAAAGCATTCAACTTGGATACGAAAAATCGTTTATTTCTAGCTTAACCTAAGACCCACTTCTGAAAGTTTCATAAGTCCTTTGTACCATTTATTCATTTAAGAGCTGCAATTCAATTATTTCATAAATATTTATAGCACAACTACAATGTGGTCAGTGCTTAGGGGGTTAGGAAAAAGTCCTGAGGAAAGTTTATGTGTTCAAATCAAAGGAAAGAAGAAAAATTTTCTGACTGTTCTAGTTATTTTGGTATAGCAGGTGGGCCCCAATGTTTATTATTAATAATAATAATAAGCTCACAAACCGTCAAACTGGGTAGGGCTCAGTAAGGGAGGTTTGCCTCTGATCCATGCAGCATCAACACAGCATCAACTGAGACATCATGACTGAGATGGGGGGAGAGATTCACAGGATGACTCCCCCACATGAGTTTATTTCATTATGAATGTTGGGCAAGAATGAAGGTTATTTGATTATGAATGTTGGGCAAGAATGGAGACAGGACCAGGGCCTTGAACCTTTTTTGCATGGGCTAATTCACAAACTTCCCTGTACCACTGTGGTTGGTTTCCAAGTCTAAGTCCCCAAACCAAATGGCAGCCAATCTCTTCATTCTGCAGACTGGAAGATGGGCAGCCCCACTCCCACCATATTCTATTGGCAAAACAAGAGCAGGAAAAGATTGAAGTCCAGCGTACCTCTTCTCAATGGGAGGCGAGGCAAAGGAATCTGAAGCCGTGCTTTATGGGGGATGTGTGTTTGCGTATGTATTCATTAAATGCATCACTGTCATGTCCACTCAAAGCACACTGGTCTCGCCATGGGGGACTTCACCTCTCCCAGCCATTCCACAGAGTGGAATTTTCAATGAGTTTTCTGTCTACAGCAAGGTAGGTTCCTCATAGCACTCTACTAATAATAACATTACATGAACGTGGCCCCCATGGTTGATGCTTGGTCTAGGGTGAGCACATCCTTCATTGGCCAATCATCTTCCTCCTCTGGTACTATTACAGACAGAACCAGAGATAGCACACTTTTCCCTGTGATTCTTGTACTCTTATGATAGAGTAAAAGGCTATGGCTATATTTTCATTGCTTTTCACATAAAAAAAGTCTTGTCTACAGTAGGATTAGATCTCACTTGCTGCCTAAATACTTCTGCATATTAAGCAATTTCTCCAAGTGTCAGTTTCCCTCTAAGTAATCATATCTACCTTTCAGGGCTCTTGTGAGTACTAAAGAAGCCGTGGGAGGCAGCCAATAGATGTAAAGTTACACCCACTGTGCTACTGTTGGTTGATGAAGTTATAAATGGGTAAAAGTCTTGAAAATTTAAGAAACAGAAGTTTCTGAATATTTGAAGTTATATAGTTACTATTTGGAGGAAAAGGAAGTGATATGAATTGAGCAAAGGAAAAGCTATGAATGACCTAAGTTATCAAAGGTGACTATACACATGTAACGTATACAGTAGCACCTTACTTCACAAACATAATTCTTTTATGACTTTAGGCCAGATGGTTGCTTTGGTGTTTGTGTGAGGAAGATGACTGTGGTGGTGTTTGTCACCCTGTGTAGAGTTTGTGAACAGGAGCAAAGTCTTGTCTAATGCTTTTGTCTGAGAACAGAATCATTTGCAAACAGAAGTGTTCATGAACCAAGGTATAACTGTATTACATTTCATTCAGAGGCCCATGTTATGAAGTGTCAAATGATGGTAGCATTTAGAATAGACATTAAAGATGCAGTGATAACCTGTGTTTATTTGTGATCAAACAAATAAGCTTAATATGCACATGTGATAACAATGATAGCATTTGTTTCCTGCAGTAGCACTGTTTCAGATGCATCCAGGAGACATGCTATCACAGGGCTGAGCCAGGGAGCACAGTTTCAATACACGGTAATGATTCTGTCTTCAAAATCAGTATCCTCACAAATTCGGAAATACAGTGATTTCCAAAAAATGAGAATTTACCTACAACAACAGATACCTCAACAACTTAAGATTCACTTGTTTTTCTGACCACTATGTTTTATAAATAAAATCTCACAGCTTCGTCAATAACAGAACGTGTATTTCATCTATGATAAGCTACTTATAGTACTTATAGTATCTGTGACTTAATTATATTTTCCTTAAGGCAGGTGATGCATATGGGGTTGTTTTTAGGCTAAGCATTGATATATCTCAATAGCCCTAGTATTCGTACTTCAGCAGTTAAGTGTGGGTTTGGGAAATGTCTGGTGCAATTATTTTGAGTGAGTTGTTTGCTTCCTGAGAAGTGCAGATGCGTGAGCAGAGGCTCACTCGAGAGATCTGCCTGCATGAAGAACTAAAAGTAGAAGTTCAGGAAAAGGGACAACACGTGACAGCTGCTGGAAAATTCCTGCAGCACTGCAGAGCACCGCGGTCCACTGCATGTGCTGATTGTGTTTTGTGTCAATGATTCTCACCAGGAAAGCTAGATCTGTACACAGAGCGGAGGTGAAAGCATCGCGAGAGGACGGATGCAGGGTAAGAGAAATCCATCTGGTCTCTGAGCCGCCTTGTGTCACAGGAGTGACTGCTCTATGACAAGCTTTGCAATAGCATGATGTGTCCTTGAGCTGGAAGCAGTTTGGAAGCCCCCTGGAGAAAAATCAAAATCCGTGGGCCGTGATAACATGCTACTATTGTTTATAGCTTTTAGACTTTATCATAATTTTTACTCTGTGGCTGCCTGTGACATAGCCATTAGGTAGAGACTGACTGTCCAAACCACTCTGTATGAAGGAAGGCACAAGTCAGGAAGGTGGTTTTTGTTCTTCTTAACTCTGAAGAGATGGGAGACTCGATACAAAATGTGGTTTAAGAACTCAAGATACCTGAGGAAGCAGCCTAAGTTCAGGTTTCCTGGTGTTCTGACTTTCATCCCAAGGCATCAAGAGATCCTGGAGGTGAATTTACTAACTCAAAAGGGAAATCATGTCTGAAAGATGAATGACAGCAGGGCCAGATCCCAGATGTGGTTCGGTTCTTATTCTAAAGTAGCTGCTACAGTTTGACTGTGGCCCCCCAACTTCATGAATCAGGATCCTCACATGGACTACAGTTTTCAGAACAGCAGCTTTGTTATAAAAGTGGGATTTTGCCTCCTACCTTCTGCCACGGGGTGACCCAGTATGAAGGCCTTCACCAGATGCTGGCCTCATTATTTTGGACTTTCCATCCCCCTGAGCTGTGAATCACGTGCATTTCTGTTTTCTAGAAATCGCTCAGTTTCACAGAGATGATCTGTTACAGCAGACAAGAGTAGCCTAAGACATTAGTCATGTTAATGGACTTTGATGCCTCCTGTACCTTAAGTTATGGCCCTTTTAGTTTCAACTAAGTTTCTATCATTTTCATCTCCTAAGATGCTTGACTTATAATAGCTACAATCGAAGCTTACGGAGAATTTAATTGTTGGCTTGTGAGTATTGTATTTAGAAGGAATAGAGAGGATTAAGTCAGGTGGATTTTATTTCACTTTTTGCCTAGGGCACAAGGTCTATATATAGGCAAATGCTATTTAAGGATATTTTCCATAGGGAGATATTCCCTGGTGATGGTAATTGTGATATGGATTAATCAAACTTATAGGAATCTATAGCCAGCCACATATGCTTAATGTATTTTAAAATATATTCTTAGTTAAATATTAATGAACAGTTTTGGTTTTCTTTTATGAGAGGCTTTAGTGGATTATGTATATTTGCAAATGTGTTACACCTAGTTTTTCAGGACAAATGATTGGAGAAACTATGTTAGGAAATGCTATCGCAATGACAAAAACCGAATATGACAAAACTTTTGAGCAAGTCTCAAATGGTATTTGTGCATATAGGCAAAAATTGTAGCCTAGAGTCTAATACTAATCAGTGGGTTCATGAGCGTTTTGGAACCAATTGGTATTTACCAGGGCAGGGCAGATCCACGGCAGAGGGCTGCATCTGTCTCCTTAGTGGTTCTTTCTCTCCCAACGTTGGGATACATAGAAGACACTGGTGACATGTTTATGATTTTTTTTAGGTGAAAGTGGCTTTGCTAAACTTAAGTAGTGACCTGGGGTGCCTTTGATAACAAGGGAATATAACCTTATTTATAAAAATTGTGCTATGTGCATAAGTTAAAAACACCAACAGTATGTATACTGTCATCCTCTGTGTGAGGAAACAAGGTTTGTCATAGATAAGCACATGTGTGTGTGTGTGCATATGGGAGGGTTTCCAGCAGGATGTGCAAATGTGATCTCAGTGTGTGCACGATGGGCAGAGGGCCTAAGGAGCCAGAGATCCAGGCTGTAAGTTACCCTTATCACATACATTTTTCTTCTTTGTGAAGTTTTAAAACCATGTTTATATTTTAAATGTTTCTGGGTTACTTTTTCTAAAAATGTATCTACATTATTTGGAAGATACAACTGAAGACACACAGGATTAAGAAAAGCATAAATGAACAGGAGTCAGGTTGAAGAAAAGGAATTATAGTACCTGAATTCTAATATGAGTCAGTTTTTTGAGACAGCCAATAAGAAGGCAAATCTATTCAACTTCAACTGTGCACTTTCTTTACTGAGTCATAGGCTTTGATGGAATGCAGACAGGACATGAAGGGCTGAAGTCAGTGGCCCATTGGTTAAAGAATTTTCTTTAGAAAACTGTGTAGTATTTTGTCTGGTTAGGGAGACTTCTCAACTTTGTCAGTTTATCTGGTTAGGGGATAAGGCACAACAATCTGACTTTTATCTCTAAATTGTTTTTAAGAGCCTTATTTGGATTTTCTGTTGTGGGAGTAGAATGTCCAAAGTTATTCCCAGGGTCTATAATTTTCTTCTCAGACTCTGAGATTGTTACATTTATCTTATTGCTATCCTGAGATAACTTGATGCAAGATGGAAAATTAGAGGATACAAAACCAATATTAAAAGTTAATTTATGTTTCTAGGATAATACATTATCAGTAAAAATTTCTTAACACCAGTCAAACTTGTCAAAAAGAGTGGTAAATTCAACTTTTTTGAAGTATGCCCTATAATATGTAAAATAAAACCTAGACAATTAGATTATCAAAGATATGGTTGATTTGAACATTATGCATAATGCTTATTTTTAGATTTTGAAAATTTGTTACTCATCTTACTAAGAACTTTAGCAGAGTCGCTTTTCCTACTTTCGATTCTTAGTAGCATATACATCTGATTTTGCCTTATGTTCAATAATATCAATGCCACTTTTCAAAAAAGTACCGACATGTCAGTGTCTACTGATGCCAAACAAAGCACTCTGATTTTATGTAAGCATAAGGAAATAACTTGTTTAAAAGTATGGTGCTATGTCCGTGATGGCAAACACCTTAGAGCTTTCAAAGGTAGCAAACAGCCCATTGAGGCACATGTGTCCGAGATTAGCCACTAACATACCCCACAGCTTAAATTTCCTCTGTTGACTCGTACTTTAGAAGTCTTCCATAGCCCCAAGTATATTAGAACAACATTTGACACTCGATAGTATAGTGGTAAATACCCAGTTCATCGACATTCCATCAGAAACTACTTTTTAAAGAGTGCTTTAACTGGGGCTGGGGATTTAGCTCAGCGGCATAAGCACGTGCCTTGCAAGCAGGCTGTCGTGAGTTCGATCCCTGGTACCAATAAAAAGGAAAAAGACAAAAAAAAAAAAAAAAGAGCACTTTAATTTATTGAATATAAAAGCGTAATGCTGAATATAAAACGGGAAGATTTCCAACTGTATCAAGCTCTGTGTGCCTTCCTCCTTTTGCATCTGAACCCTCTGGGGGTTGGTGGGATGATCTACCCAGTCTCAATGGTGGAGAAACAGGAGCCAGCTTGGCGTTAAACAGGCACAGATAATCTTCCTAGTTAAAGCTGAACCAACAGCGGTCCCAAGCAAATCCATCTTCACCACAATTTAAAGAGAGTCTGAAAGGAAACAATCTTCCTCACAGGTGTAAATCATTCTTGCTTAATCTCCCCCTTCCACAGAGTGGGTTTCCAGAAGTTTCTGTTGCTCACAGCACCGCCGGAGGACACGGAAGGTACAAGCAAAAGATTATTGAACACCTGCTGCGTGGGACTCTACTTCATTCCCACACCTGCTGAAACAGCTGGCTCCCTGCTTGGGGACAAAGACACAAAGAGCTCACTTTAATCAGTTACCCTCTTTTGGTTTGAGTTTGAAGAAAATTTATTACGTTGGAAAAAAATATCCCACAAAGTTCTGAGGAAAAAATAGAGTGTGTATACACGGTCATAGCCCGGGAGACATTAACAGTGGCCACCTTTGGAATGTGGCATACTGATTGTTTTAATGATTTTTTCACTTTCCAGGGGCTTTTCCTCTTGTCTACAATGAAGATCAGTATGTCTGATAATCAGAACAGTTATTTTAAAGATGTTATGTTTTCTCCAAGCATCTCATATTTAAAGGCATTTCAGAATGGCAACTCAAGAAACTATTTCAGGATTGAAATGTTTTGTGTTGATGATTTATTTCCTTGAATCTTTTGTTACTGAGATAGAAAAAAATGAAATGAAAGCATTGCCGAGGCATTTTCTCTCCTGGCAACTATTCTGACCTCAAGTAAGGAGGAGACAGACTGACTGAGGTGTCACTCGTGCAGTCCTAGGTTATTCCCACTTAGGCAGAGCTGCTGCTGGCTGGTGCCAAGGTAAGACCATCTGCAAAGCTCGGCAGGGACACAGACGGCCACCTGGAGCCAAAGGCCTGATGGAAGGAACTGAAGCCTCACGGGAGGTGTAATTGATAAGAACATAATAAATCATTCAAGTTGTTAAAAAGTGATTCAACTAGGTCTAAGAGTCACTGGGTACTTTGATCTATTCCTTGGCTGTTAATTTACTTTTAGGGGCACTTCTGGCTCTGTGTCTATTGGAAATGGAAAGTAGGCTTTCTAATAGGTAAATACTTCTGAAAGATTAGGTGGGGAGCCAGTTGCTATGCTCATAACAAAGCAATTGGTATTTATGGAACAACATGCCAGAAGCTACAATAGTTACTGCCTCTAGAGAGGGGATTTTGGACTTTGGATTCAGGAGGTGACCTACTTTTCCTTGTATATCCTTTTATACTATTTGCACTAATGAGTGTGCACTTGTGCTGCCCTTTCAATTAAGCCGCTACTAACAAATGTACATAATATGTTTTTTTTTTCCTTCATGCAAAGACATCAGCATAAAATCCTTTCATGAACATCCTTACTTCTGGTCTGGTTTACATTTTATTCTTTCCTCAATTGGCTTCAAGGCAGTTTATGTAAAGTGCATGTACAATCTTCTTGTTTTCTTATCTAAAATCTTCAGTAGAACACTTTTCTTTTTGGGTGTTGTACAGAAGGCTGTTTCGGACTTACTCTGGGTGGATATGTCTATGCTCATTTTTCAGACCCTTCTGACAGCATAGCCATGTCTGAGCTCTTGGAGGATTTTCAGGCAGGGCATGCGCTCTTTCTCCTGATGCTTTGGGGACCTGTTTGCTTGTTCTCATCTCCCTCACTGCTTCCTGATTCTCCTTCTGAACATGGTCCTGCACTCACACTCCCCAGGCCTACATCCCTTCATCTGTCTCCAATAATCTTGTCCCATGGAGTAATAGGTTTTACTTGTGACTCCACTCCTTATCATAAATTGAATTTCATAATTTTAGGGAAGAGGCCAACACTATTTAGAGGGCACAGGAAATGGAAGCGTATTTGAAATTTCCACTTATTATAAGGCTGGTTCATTGCTGCCAGCTCCTCATTTCTATCACTCCACCTTCCTCTTTTGCCCCACATCTGGGGAGATGTCGAGTACACCCAAGATTTCCCTCCTTTAGCTCCAACAGAGCTCAAACTATGCAAAGCCTGGCCCAGTCACAGGAGCCTGAACCCCAATCATGTGATGCAACAGTTATAAATACTGTCTGTCCTTTTTCTCTGCTCATACTTGCTTGTAAGCATCTCCAGCCATCCAGAGCGAATCGGTCATGTTAGTAATAAATCTATCCCCTCATTTAGTGTGTGGTATTGCTAGTTTCAGCTTCTGATCCAAATTTTGTTGGAGACACCTACCTGCCTCTGAGGGGCAAACACAATGCTCTGAAAGTCTATGCTTCAGATGCAAATCCTATTTTATGCATATGATACTCATAGAGAACTTATGCACACAAAGAAGTAAGGAGGACAGATTTCAAAGCACACGGGGTGCAGGCAGACAAGCTTGATTAAACTTCTTAGCTGGAACATGACAGGAGGTGGGGAAATGAATCTAAGCATTTAAAAACCATGAAGTAAATTTAGGATATTCTTTTTTGGTACAAAATGTCATTGAATCAGTGAGACATTTCCCATTAACCTGATTGTAATAAGAACACAGGGCTGCCCAAGGGTTTGTTTCCTGGCACCTGCCAACTTCCATGAATAAGCCAAGTGACCATGACTTCAGGTTCATAATCTGTCACCAAACCCATCCAGGGTCAAGTCACAGCACTCACTGCCATCCTGTGTGCTGTCCTATGAATAGGCTCAGAGGGCAGAATAGGAACCCAACACCCCTTGATGAATGATGCTATCAACAAAATCTATGCCATTGCCTTTGGGGATTTTCAAAGTCACAGTGGCTCAGCCTTTAAAGGACAGGGATGAATTCTACATTTCAGGCCACTTAAAAATTGTGTCAGTGACTAAGAGAACAAGAAGACTCTTACTAAGTAACTAATCTCAATACAAGCAATTTGAAAATAGCTATAATGGAAATCACACCAGGAGGAGGACATCAGATGTCTGTTAGAAAAACAAAACATAACTGAACCTTTTACTCTGCTCTGTTATAAGTACCCAGGTCACAGGCTATGGAGAAAGTTTATAGAACACCACTTTGTTCTTCCTCCCTTTTAAAAATGTCATTGATGAAACAACACAAAAGATACATCAAAAATAGAAAATATCCTGTAATCTAATCCTTTTCAATATGCATCATTACCAGTCAAGCCTTATTTCAATGATTATATATTTTTAAGTAGGCATAAATCTTTTATGTTAAATTTCATTTTAACGGGTCATATACTTTTTTCCTCTTAGAAGTACAGTTTTCAAAGTGAGACTTTAAAAATAGCTGCGTGCCAATACATGTAATTAATGAATCAGTTTTCCAACTCTATATTCCTTTGGTTGGGCACTAAAATTTTCCAACAGTTTCTATTGAAATTCCGTATTATTTTTTTCCACAGAATTGGGTCCATTTTTATGTTGACATTTTTTTGTAGAAATAGAGGGAAGATTTCTTACCTGGATCTTCATACATAGGAGTCTTTTTATACCCAGGAGTGGGAAACAACTAATACATTTTATAATCAGGGGTGTTAATGAAGTCTTTTACACCAAATGGTAAAGACGGATTTAGTCATCTGATGTGTCTAACCTTAGACAAGCACACCAAGCTGTTCTGTGCTCTTTACTGGTTGAGCTCAGTGACATGAACAATACAGCAAACTGTCATTGCTCCCCGATGCCAAAGAGCTTATTTTCAAGGCAAAGATGTACTTGGAAAAGAAGCATCATTAGCTTCTGTGGTTCACAAAAACTATACTGGAGGGAAAACACATGTCACAAGGGATTTGGTTGAGCCAAACATTATCATAGAGACAAAAATACTAATTTGTTGATAGAAGAACTAATATGTAAAGCAAAGACAAACTTGGTTTCTTTCCTTGGGAAGCTGACATTTTCACGGAGAGGGAGGCAAAGGGCAATGAAAAGGGAGTGAGCGGCTAGAGCTGCGGCTTGTGTGACCAAGAATAATCTCCGAAGTTATGATGGCCACGGGAGAGAGGCTGGTAGTAAAATGTGAAAGACTTTGAAATGAGCGAAAATGATAAATGGATCTTTTCTGGTCTACCCTTTCAGGTTAACTGTCGCTTTCCCTGGCTTGAGCTATTTTGCAACTCTGTATAAAGCTGATAGTAATGCTCATGATCACTGTCCATAAAACTGTGAATAAATTTGGTCTGGTACCATACAATTGATTGTTGCTTTGTGGCTATTTACTTGTTTTGTATCTATTTGTAAATTAATTTGGCATTCCTGATTGCCTATGTGTGTGTGTCTTCTTGGAATTCTTTGAGCTAATTTTAACCTCTTATTGATTCTCTCTTTAACTAATGAGTTAAGTAAAATTGTAATTGCTCATTTTTATGTGTGTAATTATTAAGATTTTAATTTTTTTTAAAAAATGAGTATGTTTTGATGCTTGGATACAACAGCCACTTAGTGATTCTCTTATACAACCTTTAGTAAAGGCCACATTTGGCATTCCACAGGATTTCTAACAAGACTGACTTCCAGTGACATAATTCTGCAATTATCCAGCCTAATGTAAGTCCACAAAGATTTACTGAGCCCTTGTTGTATGCACACAGATCAGAGATCAATAAGATCCACCTGAGCCCCAGATAGTCCACATGGGTACAATTAGAACTCCAAGCTTTACTGTGCTGTTTTATGTTATGTGTAATGATAGAATTCCATGGAAAATGTCTTGTGAGACTAAGGCAGAAGCAATGAATTCCAATGAAACAGAGTGCTGTGCTTAACCAACAAATCAGTATTTGAGTTGAGTCATAATATTAGTAGTTTCTAACTGAGGAAAGAACACGTAAAGTAGACTATGTGGAAGGGTTTTTGGCTTCTGAGTAAACTCTCCGTTAGGTGGATGTGGGTGGGGTGGAGCCATCCTTGGGGGAAAGTGAAATTGGGGACACCTCCAGATTACAACAGTTTTGAGCATTGATCTTTGAAACCAGGCCTCAACTCTGAATAGTTAATATATTGTGATTTCTGATCCTAATGTAATTTTGTATTAATTGTTATCAGTTTTGTCCTAAAGAGAGGTATCTAAATTGTACAGGCTTTGGGGTATATGGAACCTGTCCTGGGAATGCACCATTGGATTCATTACAGGAAGGTTTGTCCAACAAGAAAATTTGGAAATGACAACCTCCAACCATACCTTGAAAATCTTTCCATATTTAGCAGTGATTTTAATACTGTATGTAATGGTTTTTTCACTTAATTAAAAATTTTCTAAAATTATTCATAAATACAGGTGAAAATGCAGGACTAGTGGAGGTGATGAAGGTAAAGAGTGTTTGTCTTACCCTTCTTTCAATTGTACATCTTCTCAATAATCATTATCAACACTTTGGAGGGCTCTTAGCTACTTTTTACCCAATTTTATGTATGTTTATATATACTTACGTGTTTATGAGTGCAGATGCAGAAATATTTACATATACAACTGTGTGTTTTTCTTATAGATTACCAATTTTTTACTTTCATTTCAAGATGGAGCTTGTGAGGGTAAATCTTGTCAGCCTGACTGGTTTGAGAGGCACCTAGGAAATTGGTAAGGGACGCGTCAGGGTTTGTCTGGGTGGGTCATGGGGGCATAACGCGGGGCACTGTGTCGACTCCCTGGCATCTTCCTCTCTGGCCCTCTGCCCCTGTGTGCTGTGTTCTGGCTGCCATGCCATGAATCAGGTAGCTTTCCTCCCCCACACTTTCCCACCGTGATGCTCTGCCCCACCTCAGGTCCACAGCAATGGGACCAGCCGTCCATGCTGAAACTGTGAAGCAGAGCAAACTTCTACTCCTTTAAGTTGGTGGTATTTGGGTGTTTAGTCCTTGCAATTGAAAACTGACTATTATAGTAATATTACTATATAAAGTTATATCCTATCACTCGGTCTCATTAAGAACACAGATTTTCCACATTGGTACAAACAGTTGCACATCCTTTTAGTGTTAATGTTTCATAACATGTAAGATTGTAAATTTATTAATTATTCCTTTATTGAGAAGAATTCAGTTGGGTTTTATTTGCAAGAACTGACAAATCTTGCATGTGAGCAGTTTTAAACATCCAGTATTGCGTGAAAGTATATGATCTGTGTAGGATGTTACTTCTGTGTTTCAGAGACATAGATTTCCTCTCAAGATTGGAAAATAAGAGAATGGGTAGGTTCATAAAATAGGAGGAAGTATATAGAGAAATGAGATGAGAAGAGTTTACTGGAGATTACTCAAAACTGAGAACAAATTTATAGCAGAATGCAAGATTCTTATTCAAACAAGCCTGGCAGATGATGGCAGGTGTTGTGAAATCAGAACAGCAGCCAGCCTCAAGGACACAAAGAGCATTTTGAAAGATCTCTGTGTGCTGTTTTATACCAGGGCCAGGAAACCATCCTGACCATCTGAGAGAAACTTTACACAGTAGTGGGGACCTCAAAGACCCCTGGGCAGAAGATGATGTGGTCATGGGGAAGGGAACTTACTAGAGAGGCCCTCCATGGTGCCACAAAGCATGACTCAGGATGACGGAGCTAGAACCAGAGAAGGCAACAATCAGACCATGGTTCTTAGCTGAGTCTCTTTGAGTCATCCTCAGAGTCTTCTAGAAGGAACTGCAGTGGAATGAATAAGGGAGGCAAAGCCACAGACACCTGTGCTAATTGAATCAGTGAAACTGAAGGGAAGACTGTGGTTCTCAAACTCTGGATATTCATTAGAATGACCTAGGCAGCGTTTAAAAACACAGACTTTTTGGCTGATCCCTTGAAAAATTAAAAGATAAACTGTGAAGGCAAAATCTGGCATCACTACCATGGCATCCTTATCTTTTGGTTACTATGTTACCAGTGGTCAACCATGGTCAAAAACTATTAAATGGAAAATTCCAGAAATAAATAATTCATAGTCTTAAATCACAGAGTATTATAAATAGTATAAGATCTCATTCTGTTGTCCATTTAACTGTTCAGGGTGTAAATTATCCCTCAGTACAATGTAACCATGCTCTATGTGTTATGTATCTGTTTGTCACTTTGTGGGTCATCAGATCAATTGTCAAGGTAGTATAGTGCTTGTATTTTATTTCATAATGGCTCAAAAGCACAAGACCAATGGTGCTGGCAATTCTACTATGCCAAGGAGAAGCAGCAAAGTATTTCATGTGTTATGTCATATCATCAAAAGAGCAAAAGTGAATATAGTACCCTAAGACATTTGGAGAAAAAACACATACATTCATATAACATCACAGTATGTATTGTTACAATTGTCCTGTATTATTAACACTACTCTTATGTGCCTAATTTTTAAATTAAACATTATCACTGGTTTGCATGAATGAATAGGAATAAACAGTAAATATAGAGTTTAGTACTACTGTGTCTTTGGTTTCATGAATCCATTAAGAGTCTTGGAATGCATTCTGCATGGATGAAGGAACATTTATATTTGTAAAGCTCCCCAGATGATACCAAGGTATCTTAACAGCTAATGGAATAAGCAGTTACAAATAATGAGCATTTATCAGTCACAAGGAATTATGGAATATGGATTTTCCGAAAGTTCTCCAATGTGGAATATGCCTCCGAGTTATGTAAATTTAGGGAAAATGCTTTGCAACTTATCCACTTTCTCATCTTAGATTCTATTACTTACTATTAGCAAATGAATGAAGTGTAGGTATGAAATCTATAATATATATTTACATATTAAAACTCCATTTGCAAATTATAAATGGATATAACTAGTCCCTATAAAATGGTATTTGTCAAATATGCTTTTCCTTGAGTTTATTATTCTAGACTTGACATTTTCTGCAATGTCACAGAGGTGAAAGCACTAGTGTTTCCCATAGGGCATCCTTGTCTCTCAGCATAATTTATCATCTGAGGTCAGGAACTGCCTTGTATGCACCTGTAATTATTTCTTGTAATTAAAGCTGTCCCTACATGTAATATTCTCCCTGTGTGACTCAAGAGAATACATTTAAAAGCAAGGATCATTTAATTCTTCCCAAGTAAACTGATCTATCACCCAAGTATTTCAATTTGTATTGTAAAATGCTACATGGAGATCAGTCCTTAAATCAGTAGATTATGTTCTGTCATTTTTGCTATGAAAAACTCCTATACAAAATTACCTTTTCTGGCCCTTCCTCCTGCAGTGCAGGGCTAGCAACCCGTCCTGGAAGAATCTGGGAATCAGGAACAGGCCAGCTGTAGGAATCCGGGTGACCGGCCCCTTCCTGTACATCAGTGGATCCAGAAACAGGGAATGCCAGTCACATACATAGGACCCTGATGAGGCCACACAGAAGGGAGGGGTGAGTCTGGTGAAATTGAAAAGTTTGAAATAAGAATCAATAAGTGATGAGTTAGGTGAGCTAGCATTGTGCTTAGGGTCAAAGACCCATGGAACAGGAGTAGGTGGGTGGGTTCACACCCCCTTTACAATTTTTCTAAAAATTTAACTTAATTTTTATCTTATTTTATTTTTCCCCTTTTCTCATTTTTTCTGTTTTCTAAATCACTTGGGAGAACTCGAGACACAGAAAAATAATCCCCTTCCCCTAATTCAGATAACCTCACAAATATTCCCTTTCTTCCTTGCCCCCTTTTTTAGTTTTCCAAACCTTGCATGATCATCCACTATCCTCCAGCTTTGCTTCTTCTGCCATTCTAGTTATGTTTGTTTTGTACAAAACCCTTCACAAATTTCCTCACCATAGTGTTCTCTACTAAGAGGAAACACTTGGTATACAAACTCCTAATTTATGATCAGTTATGTTATATAGCTATAGACTTTGTTTCTACGGTCTGAAGTACAAAATAGTTAGCACAGTTTGCCAGTTTCTAAATTGTGCTTGATGCTATTGTTATTGCTAATTGCACTACTTTAGTGAGGATGCTGTATCTGTTGTAATCAGTTGTTCTTCCTTCTGTAACAATAGTGAAAGGCTCTTGGGTAGTAACCTCATCATAGCCCAACACCAAAGGATGGGGTCTGAGCCAAAGAGGCACTAACATCCCACTGTTAATTAATTGGGAAGGTAGGATCTTGGGACAGACACAAACCTAGATCTTCCTACACATAGAAGACATCCCTGAACAACAGATTTTCCATAGAGAAGACTTGGTAATAATGATTTAGCTACCTACTACAAAAATTTAC